TGAAGGAAATCCATAACAGCCCGCATATCATATAAGATCCTCCCTCTTAAAGATAAGCCGAGTATTCTAGACGATAATTTATTAAAAAAAACCATATAGATATCTTCGGTATGGTTTACATGATGACCTGCCGTTCAGATTTATCGCAATCATACTATTAATAAAAATTTCCCTTCCGAAGAAAAATTGCGCTTTTTTAAAGCTTACTGGTGTTCGTCTCAAATACCTTATGTGATACTTAATTAAAAAAAAAAAAAAAAAAAAAAAAAAATGCAAAATCTAATAACATTTTTAAAATGTGAACTTATTTTGTTACACCTTTTATGGACTTCCGAAGAAAGTAATAATAACATTGTACGTAAAAAAAAAAAATAAAAAAAAAAAAATTGAAAATTTTTTCTTTATGGTACGAAAGCTTCTATATGTAATTTGATAACATGAAAGCAACAAGGTGGCAATTTTCAAGTCACTATTATGCAAAGTGGGTGGCAATAGTTGATCCCAGAATGCTTTCAAATGATTGCAACTTTATATTGCTTTCTGTTTTTTTTTTGTTTTTTTTTTTTTTGAGACCAAAAAGAGGGCGAGAAAGGGAGAGAGAGAGAGTGCGAGAGCAGGAGATAAAGTAAGTGCTGATGGTTTCTAAAATTTTGGTAAAATAAACACAAACTACTCGGTTATTTCCGTAGTGTATAAAATAACAATTGCAACTGCCACAGGAGTAATAACAGCAACAAGAACAACAATAGGAATAGAAAATATAGAAAATAGCAACCCAATCATCCCTCTCTACTTTTGCCTTTGTAGCGCATAAGAACAGAAATAAGGCCAAAAGAAAATGGTAAAAATTAAAAAAAAAAACAAAAAAAAATAGTCGGAGAATATAAACCTAAGAAATGAAAACAGTTTCCTGTAAATTTTATGATGGTGTAATATACATGCATGCACGTGCCAGTTTGCGTATGCAAGCAAATGTATATTAAAATACATGTGTGTATGTGAAAAAATAAAGTTTTTCATTGAAATTGTGGTCAACCGAAATAGGAAACAAAGGGTAACAATAGCAATCCTTTGCATCGGATTGACTGGTATCACAATAAATACTCCCTTTTGTAAAACGTTTCATGCCACAAGAACAAGAAGAAGAAGGAGAGGGAGAGGGAGAAGGAGAGGGAGAAGAAAAAGTAAAGCAAGAAAAATAACGATCTATGAAAGACTTACCAGAAAAGACATGCACTTTAAACTTTTACCGGATATCCGTAGTGACACTTGAAGTGCAGCCTCTTTTCCTGTATGTCCGCAACTACTTACATTCTACCATTTCTCCTTTTGCTGTGTGCAACATTTTTCGGACAATTCGTTGATTTTTGTTAAATGGCCGTATAACTGACCGACAACAATAACAACAGCAACAACAACAGCAATACTAACAACAACAACAATGGCCACTGGTCACGTTTTCAATATTAGCCGTTAAGAAAGAAGAGTAAAATTCGAGTTCTATTTCTTTTATTTTTCTCCATTTTTTCCTTTCGTTTCGCATTTGTTGCAATAAACACACGCTTTCTTTCTTTTGCCCTTTTCCGATATTCTCTAATGCTATTGTTGTCGTCATTGTTGCTGTTAACAGAGTACAAGTGTTTGCTTTTTATACAAACGATTGTTGATTTTCAAAACGTGTGAATTGCATTTGTGTTCTCTCTCTCTCTCTTTCTCTCGAAGCTTTCTTGTTATTATTGCTGCTGTTATTGTTGTTGTTGCTGTTAACTATATAAGAGACTTTTGCTTTCAGTCATTTGAAGAGAAATTGCATTTTCAGATCCTCGTCTTTCATATCCCCTGCTATGCTTTCCGGGGCAAAAAAAAAAAAAAAAAAACAAAAAAAAAACGTTACGACCACCAGAGTTATTTTATTTTTTCTTTATTCAATGTATATGTTTCGTGAGGTAAAAGAAAGAAACAAAATTCTTATCGTTTTCGAGTTTCTTTTTTTCCGATTTTTTATTTTTAAATTTGTACACAATTTTTTCCTGTTATCTTGTTGACATGTCGTACGTTGACACAATCATTTTTCAAGGGATTTATATAAACATTCAAAAACACATCCATATATCCATACAAACGTACACATATATATTATATTATATATATATATACATATATATATATATATATACATATAGATATATCTGTTGTGTATATTTGATTTTTTAACTGCCAGTTGTTTTCTATGTATCTCATGTTTTATTTTTATGTTCATCAGTCTTTACCGTTTTACGTTTGCATTGCAAAGGGTTCATAAAAAATTTAAAATTCCTGCTTATACGAATACAAACACACACACACACACACACACACAAACAATGTGTTCTATTCTTTTCTTCTTCGCTTTCCTTTATTTTTCCTCCTCCTCCTCGTTGCTACCCCTTGGAATCGTATCTCTCTCTGAATTTTCGTTGTTATTTATGGTTTAAAGTTTCCAAAAATACAAAAGCAAAAGAAAAAAAAAAGGAAAAAAACCTAAACGAAAAAAGTAGAAAAGTGCCAAAATAAATTTTACTCCTTTGGCCACTGAAAAAGTTTTTTAGTGTTTGGATAAAATTCACATTTTATAGTTTCTCACTATTTGCTTGTTCGCCATCTTTCAAAAGGTGCTAAATGGCATCATTAAGCTCGCGCAACTCGATTTTTCTCTTTTTCCATTTCTTATTCTTCTTCTTCTTCTTCTTCTTTTATGATACTTTTACTTCCATTCGTTTCTTTCAGAATCTGAAAACTTTATGAAATTGCCAAATATATATATATATATATATATATACGTATGTTGTAAGCAGACGGTTTTCATTGCTATAATAGTTGATATATACATACTTAAGTACACACTCATGATGCAAGGAAATACCTAATAGCAATAACAATTGCTTTAAAGAAAGAAAACTACAGAAATCGGACAAATGTGTTTTAAAAGCAAAAATTTATGTGTGCTCCGCAAAAAGAATATAAAGAGAAAGAAACTTTTACTTAAAAACTCTCTTGGTCACAACTAAAGCAGAGTTTCTGCTGTTGTTAAGTTTCTTTAACGATTCTGTTTTGCAAAAATTTGCTTAATTCTTTTTCCCGTAAGCCATTGATAAGTTTTTGTTAAAACATTAACTATGCATTCATTTTATGGCATAAATTCTTGCATGTATCAACTTTTAATGATGAAAAACTTTGCAATAACAAAAAATAAAAAATAATGTAAGTAAGAAACAAAAACAAAAGCATTGGAGACAATTTTTTCTATACCCATCACCGAAGGTGAAACACTATATTCACTTGTCAAAACGTTTGCAACATCCAGAAGGAAGCCTTACAGACCTCATAAAGTGTATATATATATTTGATCAGTAAGTTTGAATCAAAATCTGAATCGATTTAAGCATATCCCTATGTCTGGCAGTGTAATGGCCGCTATTAGCATTCTCATGGCCGCAAAAATGAAGCTATCGACTTTCAATTTGGCAGAAACTTTGGCAATTCTCGCACGTAGCTTATTATTGAAAGTGAGCCAAACCGTTTGAAGGATGCGCCTATAGTAGCACATAAAATAAGGACATTTCTGTTTTTTAAATAAAATAAAAAATTGTCTTTTTCCTTTTAACCAAAAAAAAAATCGAAAAAAAAAGTAAGAAAATTATGTTCGAAGGCGACCGAATCTTTTATACCCATCACCAACATGACGTCCGCAATGTTTAATTTAGGCACACATAGCTTATGTCGCATTTTACTCTCCAAGTCATCTTATTTGATGCCCACTACATTATACACGGAAGAGAGAACGACTTCGCCACGCCATGGGACCCATCCTATTTATTTCGGAATTAACACATATTTCGAGGGATAATATATGTTCGTGTAAGGAATGTCCTGAACAATTTTCAATATTCCCTCTTGTTTATGAATATATGTTTGTGAATAATAAGCAGAAAACATTGTGTGGGCGCGGTCGATTTATTCCATTTTTGTACACGTTCCGCAAAACCATCCACAGAATGTAAATGCAAATTTTTATCGTTGTATCTGCTGTGGTCTATAAGTAACGAGCACAAAAACGAAATTCAACTTGGTCTCAGTTACTTATTGTAGTCGTATTCTTTGCCCAATTCTTCCCAGTTTTCATACTAACCTGCTTATAAGAAATTGCTTTCGCCAAATTTGAAACCTTCAAACTTTATTTTTGCGACAAGGAGACCCTTACCGCGGTCAGACGGATAAGCTTACATTGGTTTAGAATTACATGTTGATCAACAAACTATATATTTTATGGGGTATTTTGAGTTTCTTTCTGGGCGTTGTACATGTTTTGACAAAGTGAATATACATACCCCTTACCTTTCGGAGATGTGTGTATTCGCAAGTATTCGAAAATTCAAAGTTTTTTTAATTTAATGTTGATCTTCTTCTCCTTCCTCTTCTTCAGTGAGTATTTTATATTATTTCCAAGATGTATTTCCGGGCATTGTAAAAGTAGGTGGAAATGTAATAACTCATCGTCCTTTAATTTACGTCTACGATATTCAGGTTAATTTCCTTTCTTTTAAAACGACCACTCACTCAGGGAGTGAGTATACCCCATGGGTATAACACAGTGATTGTCACAAAAAAAAAAAAAGAGAGGAACGACAAAGAAACAGACAAAGGTGGTGGAAGCAGCCTAGAGGACGTGCACTCAATGAACACGTCTTATGCCTTTGCCGACTGAGCAGGTCCGCTGCAGGTACGAGGATACAAAACTCTATTACATTTGAACTCGCGAACTCTGAATTGTGACAAACAAGCCATTATTTAGTTAAAATGTTTTCTCCTAGATAGACAAGCTGCATAGGCATTCATGGACGGGACCATAAGATGTGAATAGGATTACGTTTTGACATTCAATATAAAGTAGAATTTGACAATTTTTTTCTTCGCAATATTCTTTGTATAAATTTATTTTCTAGTTTATGCTTTTAACTTACGATATTTCTCCAAAGGGTGAAAAGGCATCTTTTAATTGTTGAGTCTCAATTTCCGCACTTAAATCTCCTACAAATATGTGATACTGTTCTGTAAGTAAATGAACGAAAACACAAAATATTATAACATATTTCAGACATAGAGATATATGTACGCGTATATGTGCATTTATTATTATTGTTATTATTAGTTTTATTATCGTTATTTTTACTTTCTAACCTTAAAAGTAAATACATCACATGTTACAATATTACAATGTTACAATGCGGAATAACTATTTTCGGTTATCTACTCTGCTCTTAGTTCGCAATTGTCTTTACTCTGTTGACTATTCGTGTTATTCGTAACGTAACCATTTCATCTTGGCCTATGTGGCACTTTTATACACCCAAGGTTACCATTTGAAATATATTAGATTCTCATAATTACTTTATAAACTTAGCTTGAATTCCTTAATTTTTTATTTTTTTTCATTTCTTAGAGGACTTTGTTTTTTGTATGGTAAGAATATTTCTTTAATTCCCTTCTATTATATAAGGTCTTCTGCATTGCGTTCTTTAATTCGTTTTATCTTAGAGATATTATATCATTGCTCTTCGTAACGACTTGGATTAGGTTGTATTGCATTGCCTCAGGTGGCGCTTGATAGTCTCTTTTACATATCGAATTTTCTCTATCTCTTTATATTCTGCGCGAGAGAGTTTCTACGGACATCTGTAATGGGATTCATGATCTCTAGACTTCAGAAAACCATTTATGTGCTGTATCGTCCGCTATAACGGATACGATGGTTAGATTTCTTAAATACAATAATTGTAACTCAGAGCACATCTTTCTATTCTTTTCTTGCACCAATGGCTTACGGTGAGCCTGGCAATGGGCCTGTTCTAGTTTGGATATGCATTGGAGCCAATGGTTTCGCAAAAGTGGTCTTAATGAACGAAATTCTAAACAGAGAGAGTTGTTTAAAGGAAATGATATTAAAGGAAATTTTGCAAGAAAGTTCGGACAAACTTGGTAATTTGGAAACATTCAATTCTACCAAGACAACGACTTCAAGCCCAAGTCCCGCTTCATTCAAGAACGAACCTTATACAACTAGGCCAATGTGATTCACCCTCTTCTCCAATCACGAGGCATGAAACCCATCGAAAATATCGGGGTTGAATTGGACCGCCGTATGCGAAAACATTCAATGTCTTCCATCCTAGATCTGAAAAATAGACCATAAGAGGAACGAAGTAAGATCCCTTTTGGCAACAAAAGACAGATTATTCAATGAATGATTCAAAGGGTTTAAATGATTAATAAGCAAAAAGGATATCCCACCGAATATTTTTTTTTTTTTTTCGTACCTTTCCTTTTGTGAAATACGCGATATTAATGACGCTATGTGTTTTGAGTTGTTGAAGTTAGCTAATTTTCTTGGTTATTGGAATCAAGTGTTTTTTTTTTTTTTTTTGTATTTCAATATGTATTCCCTTGTAGTACGAAAATGGTAAAATCAGTTTTTATGTTTGTACAATTTTAACAAGCGTTTACATTTTGCAGAGCGAAAAATCCCAATATTAACGCGACTCACTGTATAACGTATTGATGGCATTTATTTCATTTATTATTAAAGTCGATCCATCAGTCCTTGTCTTGCTGCAATGTATCGGCTGGTTGTAGTTAAATATTAGAAATAATTGTGGAAAATTTTCTTTTTTGTCTTATGGCTTGGCGTAAACTTCTCAGCGCTTTACAATCCTTGATTGAAAAGTTAATTTTCGAAAGATTTGTGGATAAAAAAAAAAGTTGCTTCACGATTTAAAACTAATGCGTTAGAGATTAAACAAACGTAATTATAAAGGGGTTTTTAAGGCATTTCTTAAAATTCTAATATGCATGCAAATCAAGCTGAAATATTAATTATATATGCGGCATATACACATATGCATAAGCGAATATTTTTACTATATTTTCAATGAAACAATTTGTACGATATAGTAGATATGTAAATAAACATAACAGTATTAGCCGGTAATATGTTCAAGTGATTATTCTGGAATACAGCTGAATAAATAACACCCTTAAAAAGTACAAATATATATATGCAAAGATAATAAAATTTATTTTTTTTTTTTTTCGCAAAGTGCACACACAAACACACAAATGATAAACATTTGCATATGTAAGCGAAAATGTACGTAAATAATAAACACACGTAGCTACATATATATATATATATATAAATAACGTGTATAACGTGAAGTTTATGTATGTATTATGTATATACATATATATGCGTATACATATATATTTTTTATTATCGCTTCCATTTGCATTTATCCATAATTTAAATATAAAACGAAGAGTTAACGGATCATGAAGTTGATGTTGAATAGAGATGAGTTGCTTACGTACATATACACCTCACACATATAACAAATATATATACATATATATATATGCATATATATGCATAGAGCTAATGATGAAAAGACTGAAATATGATGGCGCTAGGAAAAGTAAGTGAGTGAAGGCGTGGAATGTAAAATTGAAAAAGATTTGTTGGAAGCTAATGTAATTCATATACGAAATAATGCGAATGAATGCTTATTTGTATCTATTTATGTTTGTTTGCATATACATACATGATATTTGAGTATGGTGGCCGAAAAATGATAGTGTCGGCGTTATTGGACTGTGGCCAAAATGTTAAAAATGTACATGAACGTGGCAAACCGCAAAAATAGTTAAACAAACACACCATACATAAATAAATACACAAACACAACATCAACAACAACATAAATATATGAAATTCAAAAGAAAAAGCATGAGGTAAACAAAGTATAAAATTTCTCATATAAAAAGTCTTAAGCTTGAAAACTTTAAGTTAGAGATTAATATTAATGTTAATGATTGCAGGTTAAATATAATGAATTTTTATATTATCTGAATCATCTTAAAAGGCTCAATACCTTTTAGACAGCTTAATTTAAAAATTCGTGTGTGCGATCGTTATACATTAATATTAATCCCTAGCTTAAAGTTTTTAAGCTTAATACTTTTTATATGAGAAATTTTATACTTTGTTGTATATATTGTTGTATATGTATACATATACATGTTTGTATGTGTATTCACATCCTGTTAAAATATATAAACGCAGATGCTAACAATAAATTATGCAAACACCCACACACACACACACACACACACACACACACACACACATACGCACGCGCGTATATATATGCTGCAGTGTGCTATGCTTTATACACTCAACACTACATACCTGTAACAATAAAAGATAGAGAGGAGTATATAAAAAAAAGATCATATGTACCTGCATTGATAAAAAATACAAAAAATAAATTTGATGCATTTTAGCGGAAATTATGCTTTCATATCAACAATTTTTGTTTTTATATACGTTATATGTAAACATGTATGTATACGCAAGTGCTCAAGAAGCACTATGAAATACTATATATATATGTACGAAACCATTAAAGCTACTCCATCCATGATAGCTATTGTGAGTTTTCTTTCTTTTCTTGCGCAAAAAAAAGAAAATCTATTGCTTAGTCGAAAAATTATTGAGCTTAATAATAAATGCAGTCTTAGACAAGCGAAAATGTTTTTATGTGTAAATGTAAACTTTATTATTAGTAAGAATTAACTTTGATTCCTTATGGTGGCTCGATATTTTTTAGACTCACCGATAATATGTGACTGAACAATAACAGAGCAACAATTGCACTTTTCGACTCGGTAGAATGTTTTCGTGTGAACTAAACAGAAGAAATATATAAGGAGACGCACTGTGCTACCTACATATTTATGTATATATATATGTATATGTATACGAAACTCCATGTAAGCAGCCGTTCACATACTTATACAACGGTGACTTCATGACTTATGCTTTAACCCATTGATATTGACAACAACAATAAGAAACAAGAAGTGTAGAACACTTACCTCTCTTCAAATAAAAAGATACAATGTATACCTTTGCATACAAGTGTACGTACATTTATATAGATATGCAACTAACATAGAATCAAAAAAGGTCAAAAAAAAAAAAACATATCTAACGTCTAACGAAACCAAGGTCTTTTCCGTTTCCTTGTGATTTTCAACTTTCGGTAAACACTCATGCTAGGGAGGGTACCACAATCCCCCTCTTCATGTAATTTTGCCTTCTTTATTTTATTTATTTATTTATTTTTTTTTTCATTTTTCTATGGAGTGTCCATCTAGGTTCTTCTATGGTCGTCGTTATTCCGGTTTGTTTTTTTTTTTTTTTTCAGTTTGCTTTTTGCAATTATTTAGTATGCCTAACAATATCATAACGTGTTCGTTCGTAGTATCGGTTAGTGTATATTCAACAGGCTCATTGAGCACCAGGTAAAACTATTCAGCTCATATCTGAAAACAACCATCAATGTTTGCTTGGTCGACTATTTGGCCAAAAAAAAAAAAAGTTGATTTTTCTACCACCGCCATCGTCGTCATCATCACCGTCACCATCATCATTATGATCATGAGCACCGGATATATACCGTTTGCTTGTTTTCCGATTAGTTTAACTTGTGCGCTCTAGTTAAAAGTCAACCGTCGCCCTTCCCTCCTCCCACATATAGGACGAAGCCAACAATGAAAAAAAAAAAAAAAAACAGAAAAAAAGAAATGAACACAACACAAACAAATTATATAATTTGGTTATTTTTCAAACAATTACTCTAAAAAATTTCCTGTAAATAAAACGGTAATGTTGCAAATGCATCATCATCAAAGTTGTGGCCTGATGGTAATGTTATGTGAATTTGTTTAAAAATTCTATGAATGCAAAACACATCCACATATATTCATCTATCAATTTGTACGTAAATACGAAGTGAAGTCTGTGTTTTCAATGTAATGATTTGTAAATATGTGGAATTCTTTTGAGTTCACCTCTACATGAACGGTCTGATTCATTCATATGAAATAATATGCAATATACAAATACAAAGCGTTTTGGCAGACAGGTAAGAAATGATCAAATAAGTATAACATGATTGTTAATCTACGATTTGAAGCATACTTGAAGGCGT